CAAAAGAGTAGACAACAAACTAAGCTGTCGCCTGTATTACGAATGCATTAGCCAGTAAGCCGGAAGCGACAAGGCGATCGCTGACCGGCAGGACGCGCTTACTTCCTCCACAAGAGATGCTGTGCGTATCACCCACGAACCACCCAATACTACGACACGACCAACGTAAACGTTTGCAAACATGAACAAGCTCGCGTTAACCTGCTTCGCGTTGTCGCTTCTTGGAGTATCTGCATCTTGTCACGAACGCGTCGGTGCGCAAGACGTCATCGCCAAGCTTGGACTGGAGCCAAACCCTGAAAAGGGCTATTACCGACAAACGTTTGAAGACACTGGAAGTATTGGCAATCGCTCGTACTCAACTGCCATCTACTATCTTCTCGAGGGTCAGGCTGGCCCATCCTACTGGCACCGAGTCACCGATGCCGTCGAAATTTGGCACTACTATGCTGGCGCGCCCATGAGGCTGGAGCTGTCGTGGAATAACGGGACAGCAACCCAGCAGCAGACTTTAGGCAGCGACATTTTCAGAAATCAAACTCCACAGGTCATCATAGATAAAGGACAGTGGCAGCGCGCGACTAGTCTCGGACATTGGACGTTGGTGGGCACGACAGTTGCGCCCGGCTTTTCAGAAAATGGGTATGAGTTGCCAGCGCCAGGTTTCCAGCCAGACGATGGCCATCAAACAAGATGATTCCACGAGGTCACACGAGAGGCATACCAGGGCTAGAGAGTCTCCAGATTTTTTGCTCATCTTGTATTGAGAACAGTGCTCGAAGTCAAATCTTACGAATCTGTCGCGATGCCTGTCGGCGTGCTCTACGGACTTCGCTTCACCGGTTCAATTGAGTCTTCCAATAGCTGGCTTAGATATCTGAAGCCACTCCATGCTCTTGTCAGACTGTTGAAGCGCTACTACTGTTGCCATATCTTAACGCCGAGAACACGATCTGAAAATGCAACCTGGCGCGCTTCACAACGCCCGAACGCCAAAACAATATTGTCGGGCATACTACTCCACAAGCAACACGAAGACCTCCCTCCAAATGTTTGTTGCAAACGCCGGTATCAGGGCGGTTGCGACTATCGACGGCACCTCTATTCCACAGCGTCCCTCCATTCATAGAAGCACAACGAGCACATCGTGCGGCCGTCGAATCGATCACGTAGATGCGAAATATCAACCTTGCAGTCGATTTATAATAGCGCCAAGCGAACTGCTATTCTTTCGTAATCAGGCAGCTTCGCCCTCTCATTCTTGCCATCTCACCGTCAGCTGAAGCACCTCGATCAGCTTGGATGCCTAAACATTCTGTATTCTAACTGCTCTAGCAAAGCACATGAGCTTGATCACATACCCATTCACAACTCTTTCAGTTCACATGGCAAGGCTTGACCCGGTGTCTGCTTTCTGACGACCTTGGTCTTGTGCGCGATCTTTGCGCGATCTGTGCGGCTCCGCCACACGTCAGACATGATGGGTGCGCCTTTCAATGATGTAAGCCGACTCTCTGGCGAATAAACTGCGCGCTACTTGAGGCTGCAAAGGTTTCGACCCAAATTGAGATGGGCGGAGTGGCTGCGAAACTCGTGTAAGCCACCTCGCGAGCTTCGGACCTGACTTCGCCAAGGCCGTCACGATTCGAAGAGACACTCCCGCTCACGAGATTGTCTGAGCTGTTCTTTCCTGGAGTCAGACGCGAGACTCCGAGGTCTGGATTGAGCGGTCAAACTCCGTGCTGACTGTGTTCGTGTAGGATTGGGTGGTCATGCATCTTCATCGCCCTCTGCCCATATCCGTTTTCAAGCGTCAAATTTCTATGAATACGATCTCCGAGTATCAAATCTCCGTTTGCCTTATCCTAAGCCATACTAACATCCTGGTAGTTAGAGAGTCAGAGAGGAACTTGGTTGTATTGCGCCATAGCGCCTCCAAAACCTATCGAACGCAGAATGGCCATCTGGGCTGAAGATGCAAGCCACGGACTGTAAGAGCAGACATAAGTACGAGTTTGCTGCTTCATAATTCTCTGGTAGCATATCGAGCAGTCATTTACGCATTATACTATCTTCTATTTCCTCCAGTCTTCACATCTCCACATTCGTTGATCTCCAGCTTATTCAGCAAGGATGAAGTCCTTCTCCATCCTTGGTGCTGCCCTCTTTGGGCTTTTTACTCCAGTCGCCATTGCAGCAGCGATCCCTGCTGAGCTCGCCGAACTTGCCCCATTTACGCCAATACGAGACAGTCTTGAGGAACGTCAGTCCCCAGCTTCATGTGTCAATGTTGGCAACACTGCTACTACCAGGCATTGTTGGGCTCCAGGGTTCACTTCTTCCACGGACATGTACACGTCCTGGCCTAATACTGGTGTGGTTCGCTCATACAACCTACGCATCGAGAACACGACTTGCAACCCTGATGGCGCAGGATCCAGAGTTTGCATGTTGATCAATGGAAGGTACCCTGGTCCCACGATTGTTGCCAACTGGGGCGACACGATCAGAGTAACTGTCCGCAATCTCCTCCAGGCTAATGGTACTTCCATTCACTGGCACGGCTTTCGCATGCTCAACAAGAACATCCAGGACGGCGTCAATGGAATCACCGAGTGTGCATTGGCACCTAACGACGTTAAGACTTATGAGTTCCAAGCGACTGAGTACGGCACGACATGGTACCATTCCCATTTCTCACATCAGTATGGAGACGGAGTCGTTGGAACAGTTATCGTGAATGGCCCTGCTACTGCGAATTACGACGAAGATCTTGGGGTCATGCCAATCACTGACTGGTATTACCAGACCGCGTTTCAAGCAGCCTCCATCGCATTTCAGAATGGCCAAGCTGGACTGGGCCCACCAGTCGGTGACAACATCTTGATTAACGGGACAGCTAAGAACGCAGCAGGAGGGGGCGCATGGAATAATGTGAAGATTCAAGCAGGCAAACGCTATCGTCTTCGACTTGTCAATACCGCGGTTGATACCAACATGGTTGTAAACCTTGACGGTCATCCTTTCCAGGTCATCGCAACGGACTTTGTCCCCATCAATCCCTACAACATTACTCACCTACAAATTGGTATCGGCCAACGATACGATGTGATCATCACTGCCAATCAAACAGCTGGAAACTACTGGTTCCGTGCTGTTGCAGATGGACTTTGTCAATCGCGGAACAATCGCGAGGGACGAGCTGTCTTCACGTACCAAGGCCAGACTGTCGCTGATCCTACCTCAAACTCCACAGCTATCCCTTTCACGGAATGTGTGGATCCGGTCACTAGTCCGAAGATCGCAAAGAATGTCCCCAGCACAACCTTTGCCGCCCAAGCCAAGAGCCTTCCTGTTGCCTTCGGTCCGGTGGCAGCCAACGGCAATACAGTACTCTGGACTATCAATGGCACATCGATGATCATCGATCCCGGAAAACCAACCATCAAATATGTCGCGGAAACCAACAACAGTTTCCCTCAATCATATAACGTCGTGGAGGTACCATCGACTTCCGCCTCTACCTGGTCATATTGGGTGGTACAACAAGCTGTTGGTGCACCGCCTCTTGCTCACCCTATTCATCTTCATGGCCACGACAGCTACGTTCTCGGTGCAGGCGATGGACAATTCAACGTGAGCACCCACTTCAGCCAGCTACGTTTCACCAATCCTCCGCGTCGCGATGTCACTCAGCTCAAAAAGAACGGTTGGCTTGTTCTTGCGTATCCAACGGATAATCCAGGTGCTGTAAGTAATCATACCCTGTTTCAATCCTTGAAGAATACTTTTAGGTATCTTATTATGAACGGACCTCTTACCCGTCGCGCTTTCTCGGCGAATGCTGACTGTTCTTCTCTAGTGGCTGATGCACTGCCACATCGCCTTCCATGTGGGCATGGGTCTCAGCGTCCAGTTCCTTGAGCGCAAGCAGTCTATCAATCTACCTGCTGCCGGCTCCGAGTGGTACGGCAACTGCAAAAATTGGGCTAGCTACAAAGCTGGCACGACAGACATCTGGCCCCAAGACGACTCTGGTCTTAAGAAGCGCTGGCCTCCTCTTATTGAAGGCGGCTCAACGTTCAGATTGGACTAGATTCTTCGTTCGTACACCCTCGTTCGCAAAAGATATCGATGGTCAGCAGTGTCGGATTCAACCTACAAGGGCGATGCAACCGTTTCAACTTTTCGCGTCGTATGCTTGGAGACGTTTCGCCTTTCTTGGTTCGCGCGTTCTCTTCTAACTCTCCTTCAACCCGGTTTTGTGTTTACATCTTCTTTCTGATACATACCTTGTTGTGGTGGCTCAGTTCGTATTCTGATTTGGGAACCGCATGTACATACTTCTGACACTACTCATACCTTCAATGTATATATTCCAGCAACAAATCATTCGCAAACTGCAGTTCGATCCTTACCCCATGTCCAGCCACCATTCTTATTCCGGCTATCGCACGGTGGCTTAGGTCTTGCTGACCTCTCCTAAGACCTGGGGTACGCACGGCACGGGAGTACATCCAGCACTGACCAATCACCATGCATCCAGGAATTGCCGGCCAGCTCAGTACGAGGAAGCGAGCGGGGAAGCTCGACCTCCACCACAGCGTCGAGCATGCTGACCAGTGTCATTCGTCCGAACAGCAGTCTTTGGCGATGGTGGCTTCTCGGCGCCATTGGATATATATCCAGCCAGTTAAAAGGAGTGGCTGAACTCCATCGGCTTTACTTGGCGAATGGAATGTCGCGACTCTAGCATACGGAGTCCGAGACGAGCATATTGTCAGGCATGTCGTGATGTGGGTTATTGGACTCCAAGACACGGGCGTTCTGTGGACGTGTACCCCACCACGCTTGTGCATGTGGAGAAGAGACTTGAGCGACAGGGTGCTCTTGGAGCTGATAAGTGCAGAGCACCCTGAACTCGTGTCGCAAGGTTACGGTTGCCATCTGACATTAGGACTTTGGTTTGCCAGCAATACCGAGAGCCCATCGCAGCAGCTATGGCGACAACTACGACAGCGCATCCAGCGCCTGCGATGAGCAGTACAGATTCTGATCGGATTGACAAGGAGCCGCGACTTACTCACACATCGACGAACATCTCCCTCAGTCCGGAGCTATTCGAGAAGTTGTATCTCGCACCCAAGACACCAAATGCGAACGATCACGTCGGACGATATGCCAATGCGACACCGTTGGGCTTCCTGGGGTAAGATGATCATCGCATGTACGAGAGACACAGTACTGAGTACCCAGCAGATTCGTCATCTCAACCTTCACCTTTTCCATGGTTTTGATGGGCTGGGGCGGCGCTTCTGGTCTCCAGGCTGTCGTGTAAGTATTTGTTCCCTTGACAGTGTGCACTTCCCGTCTCTAAACTGTATTGAGCCATTCTTAGTGGTATATTCTTCTTCACTGGCCCAGTACTTCTTACCCTGGCAACAATATTCCTCTGGATCCAAGCGCAGTTCTTTCCGATGATGGTTTGTGGTCTCTTCTCGGTGTTCTGGTTGTCCTTCGGAATGTTGCAATTACCTACACTTGGTCTTGCAGCAGCCTACTCATCCGATGGCGATGCAGCAGCAGGGGCTGTAAGCAAAGAGATGAATGCTGTCATCGCACTGTATCTTCTTGTTTGGGGCTTCGCATTGGGTACATTCTGGCTGTTTACGATCAGAATCAACGTAGTGTTTGCTGGCATCTTCGGGTTCGTGACAATCGGTGCCTGGGTGTTGAGCGGAGCTTACTGGGCGTTGAGCAACGGAGAGTTTGACAAGGCGCTTAGGTTGCAAAAGGTAAGCTGATCAAATGTTTCCAGAACGTTGCTGATGTTTAGCAGGCTGGTGGGGCGCTTCTATTCATAGTAGGCTTACTGGGATGGTACATGCTCTTCGTTATTATGGCGGCAGAGATGCGATGGTCGGTTTGCCCACCTGTTGGAGATCTGAGTAAATACTGGGCCAAGACAGATGTTGAGATTGGTGCAAACGCAGGTGAAAAGAAGGACTAGGCGTCAGCTTAGCACCCTGTTCAAGGTACAGTACTCATCTGTTGCTACACGCATGAGCCCTTGGATATAATATATGAAAACATTTTCGGTTCCCACTAAACACTCTTTAGCTCGCCATCTTCGCGTGAAGCGACTGCATGTCTGCTACCAGCCCGACGAATCCTAGAGGGAGTAACCGACGGGTTCACTGTCAGACATAGGGTCACAAAAAAAGCAGGTTAGAGAATGAGCAAACGCAACATTGGTCGCATGGATGGTCCATTTGGATGTAAGACTATTGGTACCCGATGTCTTCGTTCTCATATAAAAGCCGTCTCAAAATCTTCGGTCCGCTGGTGACGATGGGTGTGACGATCACCAGCGCGCTCTCTACTCTTGCTTTGGGCTCGTCGCTCGCCGCTGCGATGCGAAGACCGATGCTCGTGCCTGTCACGGCTGTGCGTGGAAGTCCTAGGCTCACGCTTGTCACGGCTATGGCTAGGACTTGTGTGGCGATGCTTGTGGCGCGACGACGCACTGTCCTTCTTGGGAGTGCCATGCTCGCTGTCTTCCACGTCTCGCCTCTTTCTCTTGAGATGTCTACTCCGCCTATCCTCGCGTTCCTGAGCTGATCGTAGCTCCATCAATTCGCGACTGCGCTCCTCGGCCCATTGTTTCCTGTCCTGCTTGGACTTCTTCAATTGTGCCTGTGCCTTCTGCATGAAGGCAAAGGGGTCGTTTGTGGATATGCGGGCCTGCTCTCTTTCTTTACGGCGCGGGTCTTCATTTCCCCAAACGTCCTTGTTCACGAAGCCTTCGTAGATTGACAGTTCCTTCTTGTCTCCAGCGCTCTGCTTGGGCGAATGTACGGCAGCGTACCAGGGTCGACTGACCCCGTCCCTTCCTGCCGCACTGGAGAAGCGCATGGTGAACTGGGACTCGATGGCCTTTTCCTTCTTGCGCTTCTCCTGTTCCGCTTCTGCGTTTCTCTCACGCTTGAGGGCGTCTTTCATGTCTACCGGAAACAAGTCAATGTGGCCGGCATGGTCTTGCAACGGGGCATCACTCGCAGTGCTCCGTAACTTCAGGACTCTGGCGTCCTTGTCGTCATGCTCAGGTCGCGCCGTGACGGACTTGGCCATGCGTATGTCCAGATCGGTATCATCCTCCCCAGCGAGCTTCCTCCTTTTCCTGATATGTCCGCGTTCATCTGCGTGTCCTGAGCGCCTTGATTCTGACGTCTTGCTGGCTTGTCTTTCTGGCAAAGGTGGGGGCGTTCGACCTCGGAGAATGGCAGCACGTCGTTCGGCATCGAGCTCTTGCATGCGCTGCTCATCGGCGGCTTCGCGTGCGGCAGCGGCAGCCTCGTCGGCCTTGACGCGCGCTATGTTGTCGGAATTGTATACGTTCCATGACTTCTTGCCGAGCAGGTGTCTACAGTCGTTAGTGACTCCAAGGGCTAGAGTTGGGAGAGGAGAGCCACTCACAGAGGCATGGTGACATGTGCCAGGCGGACGAGACCAGAGCGTGTTGTTTGTTGTCATGCGCCATCGGGACGGCCGCCTTCTTAACTCTCACCAGCGAGGTCGGGCGCGGAGGCAAGCAGTGGCACCCGTCGACGCGAACGGGAGCGACCTTGCATTAGCGTCGAGCGGGGCCCTATCCAGTTCTCTCCCCACAGTGCCATTGGCATAACCCAAAGAGACGACCCGAGTTCCTGGCTAGATGCATCGCCTTCAATAGTGCCCCTCTGATCTGGCTTCCCCGTGGTAACCGTCGTATCGATTCCCTTGTTGCTTTTTCCTAGCGTGCATCTGGCCACAAGACGAGCGCTCCCAGCCACGCTGCGGCTATCGTCTAGACCTCTGCATAAGCTCTCAAGACGCGGTCCCGACCTACATAACACAACGTCTGTGACCATGTACGACCTGCAAGCGAAAGTCTGCTAAAGACCTCGTCCCTCACTTTGACCTACCTCTGTGTGTTGCTTTTTGGACCGACTTTCTTCCACGGCACTCCACCTCCGAAACGGAGAATTGATACGAAAAGCACTTCAACATGCCCACCTGGCTCGTTCACGGTTTTCGATGGCCGCGCGCACAGATTCGCATTCACATTATTCTGCAGAACCTCGACGACGCCGCTCCAGAATGGCTCATGGCCCCTGCTACTACGGCCTGTATGATGCAAAACTTCAAGGAGCAATGGCCAGAACAGATGGCCCAGCTGCCTGATCTACGCTTCATCGAGCAATACGATCCCGAAGATCTCACCGTCAAGGATCAGCCGTACGCATATGTGTGCGATATTGTGCACGAGATCAAGCTGGGCGTGGACGTGGAAGAGATGAGGGGAGCTGGGCTGGGAGATGACCAGTGGGCAGCCATTGCAGAATTGAGGGACAAGGTTGCACCGGGAGAAAAATTAGGTTGGTTCGTAGTGGTCAACGGAGATATCGAGAGGTGGGCGCCGCCGCTGGAGGAAGACGACGATATAACCCCAGACGCCAGCGCCGTCAGTGCATCAAGTCACAGGAGTAGCATGGCACAATCCGACACCGCACGCACCAAAGAACCGGAGCGACCGTCCTCGAGCAGGAGTTTCAAGAAGTGGTTCGGAGGGAAATTGAGGAAAACGAAGAGGTACGATTGATGACAATATGGATCCAGTATATGCTAACTTGATGAAGCGGAAGGAATTTGAGAGGTGATACCACGCCAGAAGAGCCAGTTCCTCCATTGCCACCAATCTCACCCCGATACGCTCTTCAATCTTCGCACGGGAAGGCATCTGCGCAGAAGTAAGGGCGAAACGAACAGGGATGAGATCAAGTACACACATATATATATATATATGGCCCCAGTGAAGTCAGCCGCAACATGTCAGCTATCGAATAGGTCTTTCAGGTAGTCAAGCATCCGCAGCAAGATAACATACGTGAAGATGTGGACAGCCATTGCCTGCATGAATTCATGTGCCCGTCGCAAACTCACCTTTTGGGTTAGCGCATTTCATACCTCGTTGCACGTGACACGCGATTGCCTAGCTCAAATTATTATCCAAGTCGCGACTGCCCTATCACGCCGCCTCGGCATCAACACCACCCACCTCGCTACCGTATTTCACCGCCAACTCTTCCATCGCGACCGCGATCCAAGTCCGCATACATCCAGCGAAGATACTGGCGCATCGCGTTTAGGTTAATTGTTCCGAAAGCCTGCGCAGCTTGCGGCGCGCTCCAGCCCGAGGCTACGACCAATACCTTTCCTCGACGACCCCGGAACTACCGCCAAGATGAGTCGACGCGACTTTCTCTCCATGCCTGCGCCCGAGAACTATGTGGCTGGTCTCGGTAGAGGAGCTACGGGCTTTACAACCCGAAGCGATCTGGGTCCCGCCCGTGAGGGTCCATCCGAGGAGCAGATGAAAGAGATGCTAGCAAAGCGCGCAGCTTCGCTAGGTCAGGCAGCCCCCTCGGCCTATGGTGTCACTGAAAAGAAAGAGGAAGAGAGGGACGAAGAGGAGGACCGGTTTCAAGATCCCGATAATGAAGTTGGCCTTTTCTCAAGCGGCATGAACTACGACAAGGACGATGACGAGGCAGACCGCATATACCAAGAAGTTGACGAGAAGATGGACAAGCGCCGTAGAGCAAGAAGGTTAGTCCCCCTGTTTTCCTTTACCTTATGCCCCTCCCCTCTATCTTTGTTATCGAAGTATTCATCGTGTTTTTTTCCACGAACAGATACCGATTGTGTCCGCCCTAGGGAAGCTCGCGAGCAATTAGAACGAGACGAGTACGAACGAAACAACCCCAAGATCCAGCTCCAGTTTGCCGATCTGAAACGAGCCCTCGGCGGCGTCTCTGAGGAAGAATGGGCAGCGCTGCCTGAGGTTGGAGATATGACCGGCAAAGCGAAGCGCGCTCGTGAAGCTCGACTAGCGAATTCGAGGTCATACGCCGTTCCGGATAGTGTTTTGGCCGCAGCATCCAAGAGTGGCGAGCTTGATACCACGATATCGTCAGGCGACGCAGACGGCATGACAACGAACCTTGCCAGTATCGGAGCTGCGCAGCTGTCTGCCTTGACGGTACGACTGGACTCAGCAGCAAGTGCGCCTGGCACGCAAACCACAACAACTTCTGGTACCTCGACGTCCGTGGACCCGAAGGGATACATGACTGCGTTGAGCAAAAAGGAAGCTATGGGTGAGGAAGTTCCAGTTGAGGACATCAACCGCGCGCGTGTGCTGTTAGAATCGGCCGTCAAAACTAACGTCCACAACGGCCCCGGATACGTTGCGCTAGCACGACTTGAAGAAGTTGCTGGAAAGATTCACACGGCCAAAAAGGTTATTGCACGTGGATGCGAACTATGTCCTCGGTCTGTAGTCGTCTGGGAGGAAGCGATCAGGCTGAATCGTGACAACATCCACAATGCGAAGATCATTGCCGCCAATGGTATCAAGCAGAACACCAAGGCGGTAAAATTATGGCAAGCTGCCATCGATCTGGAACAAACACCAGCGTCTAGGAAAAAGGTTACACGTCAAGCTCTAGACCACAACCCCCAGAGTGTGGAGTTGTGGAAGACCCTAATCAACGACACGGAAGAGCTAGACGCCGTCCGCTTACTGTTCGCCAAAGCTACAGAAACTGTTCCTCTCTCAGAGGAGTTGTGGATCTCATTCGCCAGAGTTTCAAAACCAGAAGACGCGCAGCAGATCCTCAACAAGGCTCGCAAAGCCATCCCCACCAGTTGGGCGATTTGGATTCATGCTTGCAGATTACAAGAAGAGCTGGGCAAAGTTGACATGTTGGACATGATCATGACTAGAGCAGTCAAGTCCCTGATCAAGGAGAACGCTATGATCAAACGTGAAGAGTGGATCACTCAAGCTGAGATTTGCGAGGAGCAAGGCGACACTGGCACAGCTGCTGCGATCATCAAGGCGACAGTGGGCTGGGGTCTTGACGAAGATGACGAGCGTCGGGACGTTTGGCTAGAAGATGCCAGGAGCGTATTGAACAGAAACAAGCCGGAAACAGCTAGGGCAATCCTCGGATTCGCCGTCGCCGTCTTCCCGTATAGTACAACAGTCTGGCACGCGTCCACTGACCTCGAAAAGCATCACGGTACAACCGACACCCTACTAAGTGTCCTGGAGCGTGCCGTGAACGCCTGTCCAAACTCGGAGTCCTTGTGGCTTCAATACGCTCGAGAAATGTGGCAATCAGGGAACCCTGAAGGTGCTCGCCAGGTTCTAGGAAGAAGTTTCGAGGCTCTGCCAGGCAACGAAATGCTGTACACTCGCGCTGTTGATTTCGAAGTTGACGCTGGCAACTACGAGCAGGCCCGTAGCTTCCTCCAGGTAGCACGTGAATCAGCTGCCACCGATCGCATCTACATGAAGTCGGCCGTGCTAGAACGACAACTGGAAAACTATGAGACAGCGATCGACATTTGTAACCAGGGTCTGCAGAACTGGCCCGGCAGTTGGAAGTTACATGCTATCAAAGGCCAAGTCTACGAGCAGCTTTCAAAGCTGCCAGAAGCTCACGAGGCATTCAACATCGGTACACGCGCGGCACCGAAAGCTCCAGTCCTGTACATTCTTCTTTCACGACTCCAGGTGAAGCAAGGAGCAGTTGTAAAGGCTAGGTCCACCCTGGACCGTGGTCGACAGCAGAACCCTAAGAGCGAAGAGATCCTTCTAGAGCAAGTCCGTCTCGAGCGCCGCCAGAATAACACGAACGCCGCCCAACAGCTGATGGCCGGCGCTCTACAACAATGTCCCAACTCAGGGCTCTTATGGGCAGAGAAGATCATGCACCTCGAGGGCCGCACACAACGTAAGCCGCGCGCACTCGAAGCTATCAAGAAAGTGGAAAAGGACCCTCTACTATTCGTCGTCGTCGCACGGATCTTCTGGTCGGAGCGACGTCTCGACAAGGCCGCGACGTGGTTCGTCAAGGCTGTCACCCTTGACAGCGATTACGGTGATGCTTGGGTGTGGTACTACAAGTTCCTCGAACAGCATGGCACTGAGGAGAAGAAGGAGGATACGCTTTCAAAGGCTGCCATGGCTGAGCCCAAGCATGGTGAAATATGGCAGTCTGTCGCCAAGGATCCTAAGAATGCGAGGAAGAGTGTAGAGGAGATTTTGAAGATTGCTGCGGCAAAAGCGGAGTAGAGTGCTGCTGTAAATCGGTGTCTGTGTTGATAAGGTCGAAGCATAATCGAAACATTTTCCGGCCTTAGTAGCGGGTCTTGCTCACAGCTGCGGTCTTACACGGATTGATGCTAGTTTGGCATATTCGAGGATGATAAGTTCCTGACTCTGGCGTTTACTAACTTTATCCAAGTAAGTTGTGTTTTCTAGTTCTGAGCCGTGAACCGCTTTTGGGATCTCCAGATTTAAGAGAAATTCCCCACCATCATAGCTTTCCAACACAGCCTGCAGACCGACCTCAAAAACTGTAAGGTAGGATTGTCAATGGGCTGCAAGTTATTGCCGTCGCTACTCACTGGCTCAATTTCATCCGCCTGACCTGCACACGGCATAACCACGTATAAAACTCAGTACGTCTCTATTCATGTATACACAACGCACGAATATCCGCGTTGATTACTATTACTGTGGTCATTTGAAGCCGCCAAGCTGATTATCATGGCAGAGAATCTGTTTGTCCAATGTGAATGTTCACTTGTGGAGTGGCAGGCCATAACACGGCTTACATTACCACCCATTAGCCCCAAGATCGAATGACGAAGTGAACATGCTGCCGTCCTCGAAAGCAATGACACGATCCATGTCTATAAAATCCTGATCAAGCATGGGGTCGGTGTTGAACTCCGGACTCAGCAGGGATAAGTCCAGGTCGTCCAATGGCAGAGTCACCCCAACATTTGGCCATGTGCGAAAAAATTGCGACGGCTCACTGGTACCACGACGATCATCGATATCCTTGGTATAGTCCATGATGTTAAGTCGAAAGTTTTCATCTTCTGCGCAGCGCTCATGTAATCTCCTTAGCCGACGGTGATACTGGCTGAACAGGTTCTCCTCGCAATGTAATCGACCGGAAAAGGCGATCCATCGCCTTGACATTTCCTCAAGGCTGTGCAAGATGGACCAGAACTCGGGGGCCAGGTTGTTCTCACGTGTGTACCGCCAATGAGCTAAAAGTACCCTGGCAGCAACGAACAGGCAGAAAGCATACTGGCATCCAACCGGTGATGTAGGCGACGACTTTGTGAGGTATTTCTCTGTAATGGTTGCAATCTCAGTACCAGCAGTGTAGCAAGCCTCTGCGCTGCAAGTGCTAGGTAATCGGTTTCGAAAGCCCCAGTGTGGAGGTGGATAAGCGATGAGCTGATGAAGCAGTATCATCGAAGCGTTATGTGTGACATGAGCTGTAGTTAAATTCGGGTCCTAACAGATGTTACTTGATGTCTGTAATGCATCAATTGTTCGAATGCTTACCATCAAGGGAACCTGTCTTGTTAAGTTAGGATTGGCCTTCCATTTCTGAGGTAGCAGCATCTTCCAATGCACCAAGCGAAGATCTAGCTCTTTAAATCGAGTGAGCCAAGAGCTGATCTCGCCTTGGTTTCGAACATTGACTTTTTGTTGGAGAAAATAGCTCACTACGCGACTCATAGACTCGGTTGCTTCGATGTTGTACGCAAAAGCACCGACCGTGGACATATCTGCCGCTCCGTTTTGACCCATGTCGATTGATGGTGTCCCTCTCATCTGGCCATGGGCTGCGGTCTCAGTGGCGGATGACTCATCGATCAGAGATATAGGCTGTGAGATGAAGCCGATCGGGTTGCCGATGCGACCTTTTGACTTGTCCCAAATGCCGAAGTAAGGCGTCAAGACAGCATTCTGCTTGCGCCACAGGTGACCGTCACAGGGCAGTCTCCGAAAGACATCATCAGAGGTTAAACTCGTACTCCAGCCCATAGTTACCGAGCAGAATCGATCAAGGAGGAAAACATTCCAGAAGACTCTCCGCCGTTCTTCCTCTTCTGTCCAATCGTCGGTATTCTCTAGGCATGCGTATGCTTGGCAAAAAGGGTGAAGCTCACTATCCTCTTGCTCCTGTGCCAAGCCCATGTATTCAACGGTACGCGTCATTGATCCGATGATGGCCCAGGCTTTTGATGCTTGTCCGTTCCCAATATCATCGAAAGCCAGTATAGTCAGCGCTTGGAGGCTCTCAAGTGATAGAGTCTCCATAGCTGTGCAGACAACCCACCTGCGCGCTTGTTCAACGTGACCTCCTCGTGAGCCAGGTACGAATTTGGAAGCGGCTAGGATCATAGCTTGGATGACTACTGAGAGCTTTCTACGCTGCGGCTCTATGCTGAAGCGTTGAAGAAATCTAGCCTGATGAATCATCGGGATCCAAGGATGAACATGGGAAAAGTATGCTGCAACGGTAGCTTCCAGCATTTCAGCCTGGGGTAGAGGAGGCACTTCATCTGAGTCCAACGTATGGAGATTAATATTGTCTTTGTCTGCTAGACGTCTCCTTTTATTGCTCTCCTCGTTTGTTGCCGGCGTGGCAACTCCTCCATTCGATAAGCCATCAGTCAGCTTGGGCAGTTCCTTGGCCAACAGAGCCAAGATGCTGTAAGCTGCCGACTTGCTTGAACTCTGACGTGTATGTCCAGTTTCATGTGGTGAGCCGTGGTTGCACTGTTCAAGACGAGATTCTTGCGCGTTGAAGCGCTGTTCTAACTCGTCAATCCTTCTATGCAGATTGTCAATAGCTCCTGACTTTAAGCCCGGCTTGATACGTTTCGACTCGTATTCGCATTCTTCTCCTGCTGGATATTAGCGGATGGAACCGAACTGCGTAACCATGTGATACTTTACCTGTCTTCCTACAGTGTAGGCAACTGGGTCTGTCTCTCGAACAGCGCAGTTTCGCTTTCCGGCACGAATTGCAAGCGAGGCCATACGGCGTGCCAGAAGCTTGCTTCAGCTCACAATCAGGCTGCTCATTTGACCTGTCCTTGAAAGTTTCATCTGACATGGCATGCGTTTACTGAGAGCTAGGACTAACTATACCCTTATGTAAATGATCCATCCGAACACCGGTCGAGATGCCCCGAACGACCGAGAGGGCAGCCAGGTTCTCCGCATTGGCGCGACCCAATCAGTATATAGTCTAGTGCCTCGAGATATACAGTGACACTAATGATTAACCGAGCTAGTAACGATCAGACGTTCTCCACTCGTTGAAATGATCCTAGTCTTCTACACCAGAGATGTCTTGATCAAGACATGACAATGCACATTTGCCTGTTTGCGCTTGCCGAAGATTCACCTGGCTTATACTAGGCCCGTTCGTAACAACCTATTACCAAATTCCACCAGATAGTAGTCTCCATAAACTAGGCCATGATTGGCGTAACGCTTACGCGCATTCGCATTGTTGTTTGCAGTTCCAAACTTCAACATCCCATCGTAACGACGTTCTGGCGATGTCTCCTCCGCACGAATCTGATGATATGAGCCATTGACAAGCCGAGCCTTCTCTGGTGCTAGCGCAAAGCTGAGTGTGTCTTGAACTATGCGCAACGCTGTGTTCCGAAATCTCAGTGACAACTGAGTCTGCCCGATACCCGCTAATGCTTGCGATAGCAATAGCATTCCGTTGGCGGCGATGGTGCCTGCAGAAGAGTCGCGCAACGGTTCATCCTCGTTCTCGATTGGTGCATCAAAGTCCCACAAAGGCACGTAGCGCGCACAAGACACACAGACAGGTGATGTCTTTAGACGATACAAGAAATATTCTGCGAGTCCACAGGCTGCCTCCAGGAACCTATGGTCTCTTGTCCACATGTACGTCTCCGCGTATCCGAGTATACCCCATGCCTGGCCACGACTCCACGTCGAATCGTGCTCGTATCCTTGTGCCGTTATTCGTTGCTTCAATTCGCCTGTTCTTGGATCAATGTTTGCGACGTGGCAAGTCGAATACCATTGACCTCTGTAGGCATCTTTTGATGCGGATAGCATTGGCTCGGGCCGCAGATGGCTGTGCAAGAGTGTGGCAGCGTGTGTAGTGGCAATTTCCGCAAGTTTGGAGTCTTGCGCATGATGTGCCGCATAATACAGCAGATCGAGATTACACATGCTGTCGATGATAACGATCATATTCTCATCTTGGTCGATGATCTCTATGTTCTTCTTCTTCAGCAAGTCCCAGCTTCTAATGGCACCAGCTGTAGGAACATATCGCGTCGCCAGACTATGCGCAGCCTTGACGATAGAATCCAGACTCTGCTGATTTCCGAACAGTTCCCAGTCAGTGCGGAGTGCTGGCATGACAATGAAACCGATATCATGGGTATCGGTTCGCTCGTCCATACCTCGAATCGGCTCGGCCCAGGTGCGACATAAGATAGTGAGTTGATTTCGAAGATGTTTCAGATCAACCGAACTAGAGAGATGCATACGCTGAGGGTATTTAATGAGCCTCTCCAACATGCTGTACATGGTCCCGGGGAAGAAGCCGCAAGTCCAAAAGTCAGCTTCGCGTAAGCTATAGCTACCATCGTGGTTGTCCTGCTGTGGGACAATCTCTGGAAATGCGGTAGGAAGGGAGGACATAGCAGCCTGTGCGGTTCGAAGGACTTTGGCCATGATGTTTTCAGTGAACAGCTCCGGTACGAGATCGGCTATCGCAGTGTTTGAGGTGAAGTGATGGGTTGCGCAGTCCAGGTTCCCGCTTTCTGATGGCGGTACACTGCTGCTTGGTGTCGTCGTGTCATGCTCAGATGAGTCTTCCTCAACGCTGCTTCCTGAGGACCCTACGCTCGCTGCTGGGATAGCTTCCTCCGTGAGAGCGAAGCCGAGATTGTCGGAAACATCGTGTTGAGTTCTTTCTTGTACTGGCTTGAGTATCAAGAGGTCGTCTTCTGGCTTCACATCTTCCGCTAGTTTGGAAGGCGCTTGCGATGAATCGTCTTGTGGTTCGACGAGGTTCGTCACGAGTGGATCCATGTGATCGGTTTAACGTAGCGTGATATCTTCGTTGCTGGCACTCCAAAGTCAGGGAGGATGCTGAATTCTCGCAATAGGGATGGCGTTTGCTACGCGCGGTCGTCTGTAACGTGAGAGAATCGAATCGAAGCTAGAACGATCACCCCATGAAAGGGATGCGGCTACTATGTACATAGCCATGGCGAATTTCAGGTGATGTGGTTTCGGGGTATGGAAACGCGAACTGCCAATGCTCCGAGACGTGTGTCTTGTGTGAGATGGGACGAATCTAATGTTCGCGATAGCCCGAAGCCCGCTGCCAAGGGTCCGAAACGACGCCAGCAACAGCCCCACACGCTCGTGATTGGGTTTCCACCAACTGTGTACTGCAGCCCTTACCCCATGGGAAAGCGCCACAACCCGCGGGGTATGCAGCAGCAAGGAACTCTGACCGACACGACTGGCAAAGGATAGGAAACCAGAATGGCAAAGACTTGGTTTTCGCTCAGTGTTCATGGCAGAGCTCATGATACTTAAACTCGGGTGGAGAATACTTTGTTGTGAAGAAACTCCAACGAAGCAGCACTTCCAGCGCCTGCATTATACCACCGCACCAAAGTTCTTTCTTGACGACCGCGCACGACAATGCCGCCTTCTCAAGATGAGATCAAGGTCATGACGCCCGACGGCGAACGCAACGTCGTCATGGTCAATGGCAAAGAGATTGTCGTAAGCTCCGCCACCGAGAAGCCTAACCGCTCTTTCTGGGTTGCTTGGATGTACATCTTCGATGTGAGTTTTGCAGGCGCACATGGTTATGGCATTCGCTCATAGTGTACAGTGGTATCCGAGTCATTACTCTCCCGAAGAAAAACGATTAGTACGAAAGCTCGACTGCGTCTTGCTTACTTTGTGTTGCCTTTGCTTCTACATAAAGTGGCTGGATCAGAACGCACTCAATACCGCGTATTGGTCTGGCATGCGGGAAGAGTTGGCGATAAAGGGCAACGAATATTCGCTCTTCGGGACTTTGTAAGTATGGCTAAAAAGCCTTGCCATGAAACAATGTCTCATATCATCCAGCTACAACATCGGTTACATGATCTTCGAAATACCGAGCATGATGATCATCTCACGTCCAAAGCTGGCTCGCTATTACGTTCCGACCATGGAATGCGCCTGGTCTATCCTGACTTTCACGCAGTCCCACTTGAGCAGCGTACCGCAGATCTACGGGCTTCGCTTCCTTCTCGGTGTCCTAGAAACGCCTGCTTCGACTGGCTCGATCTATCTTCTCACTTCCTGGTACCGCGCTGATGAGGTGTTCAAGCGCGCCGGTGTCTGGTATGTTTCGAGCAATGCTGGCGCTATGTTTAGCGGCTATCTACAAGCCGCTGCCCACAAGAACCTCGACGGAGTCCATGGGATGTCGGGATGGCGCTGGTAAGTATTGGCTGTACGAAATGCATGTGAGACATACACTGACTTCGTGTGTTCACAACTGCAGGTTGTTCATTATCGATGGATCCATCTCTTTGCCTATTGGTCTCGCTGGCTTCTTCCTATACCCTGGACTTCCCACTAGTCCAAAGGTTTGGTGGCTGACAGAAGACGAGAGAAAGCTCGCCGTTGCACGCATGCAAAGCCAGGGTACGAAGCAGAGCGGCAAGATTGGCAAACGTATGCTTAAACGCGTATTCACTCACTGGCACTTCTACGTCGCGGTCTTGACATACGTTTTCTTCCAATGTACGAGCTACGTTGGTGGTCAGATGCAAGCTTGGCTCAAGAAGGAAGCCGATCTCAACGGTACCTACACCATCGAAGAGATCAACCTCATCCCCACCGGAGTTCAGGGCCTGGCCATCGTCTGTGGCATTTCCATCACTAGCTTGGTGATGATATATCCGATGTGGATCGTTTTTTCAGTCGTTACAGCAATCTTGCTTTTCGCAAATGTGTGCTTGCGAGTGTGGTACATCCCACTTGGCCTTCATTGTGAGTAACATCATTTCCAAGGTGTACGAAGACCCAGCTAACATCCCTGCAGTTACTTGCTATTACCTGCTTGGCCTGACATCTTGCGTCACCCCCATCCTGTTTCCGTGGGTAAACATGATAATGAAGGATGACAACGAAGCACGAAGTTTCACCACTGGTGCAATGATGACCATCGGTTGGGCCTTCTTCTCCTTCTATCCAATTACAGTATTTCCTATCCTGGAAGCGCCGCAGTGGACTAAGGGCTATACTGTCAACATCGTCTTCATCATTTGCTACTGGATTCTCTTTATGGTTGGACAATACCTCTGGCGCCGCGAGGAGAAGACTAAGAAGTTTGACATCAACAGGCAAGAGGACGAAGATGTTCTTAACAAACCAGAAGCAGTGCACATCGAGGTTGCAGATGACAAGACTATGAAGGAAGGTAGACCTTGAGTTCCGGAGAATACCAGCATTCACAAGATTATGAATATCTGAATCGTCGGAATGATCATGTTTGTCTCGGGGTTAAGAACTCGGTTGATACAGTTTCAACGGCTTGGCGATCTCGGGCTATCTTCGCGATATGTCTGTCCGAAGTGAGGAGCTGCTAGATGATAAAGCACCTCGACGCCTCTTAGAAGGAAATTATGAGATATTTGTTCCTGTGATCATTACATCCCCTCAACCTGACCCTGCACAGTCATTGCGACAATATGCCGCCCCTTCCTGGGTTCTCTGATAATCAATTTCGCACGAGAGACGACTTCATACGTGCAGCTTCAGCACTCATCAGCCCTTTAGGCCAATACAGATCACCCGGTCACGCACGAATAAGAGTTGCGACATGCACAGGTGCCGGATTCAGCGAGACGGCAGCTCAGCTTGAGGGCTTCGCGCGACCGCTTTGGGCTGTTGCCATCTTACTCCAGCTCAAGCAACAAAGCAACCAGAGCACAAGCGCTCCATTGAAAGGTGCATTAGAACCCTGGGTGGTTGGCATCCGGGCTGGAACCGACCCGCAGAGTCCAGAATACTGGGGCGATCTGTCCGACTTTGACCAGCGCATGGTGGAGATGGAGTCTATTGCTTTTGCCCTGCTTGCAAATCCCACTGTGTTCTCTTTCGACAGTGAACCAACTACCCAAGCCAATCTCATTGCATGGCTTCGGCAGATCAATGAGCATAAGATGCCTGAAACAAACTGGCTGTGGTTTCGCGTATTGGTCAACATCGCGCTAGTCAAGACGCTTCATGTACCATTGGATGAGGTGAAAGCGCACATCGACAAGAGCTTGGAGAAACTAGACACATTCGATATCGGCGAGGGGTGGTCTTCGGATGGTCTCTGGTCCGAACAAAGAAAACAAGCCGATTACTACAGTGGGAGCTTTGCGATACAGTTTGCGCAACTTCTCTACATTCGTTTTGCCCCCAAATACGATTTAGCTCGTACTTCCAAGTACATAGAGCAAGCGCGTGAGTTTGGGAAGGAGTATTGGAGGTACTTCGACCCCCAAGGTGCAGCAATCCCGTTCGGGCGAAGTCTAACGTATCGCTTCGCGTTCGCCGCCTTCTGGGCAGCTGTCGCATTCGCTGGCGTTGAGCTACCAGCTCCAATTAAGGAGATGGGATCGGTGAAGGGCCTGTTGCTCAGGCACTTACGGTGGTGGGCGAAACAGCCACACATTTTCAACACTGATGGGACGCCTAATATTGGATTTGCGTACCCGAACATGTACCTTGCTGAGGATTACAACTCGCCGCAATCAGTGTATTGGTGCCTGAAAAGCTTCTTGGTTCTCGGCCTGGATGACACGAATGCATTTTGGCAGGCAGAGGAACTTGGTCATCCAAGGACTAGGAAAGACATCATGCGACTCGACAATAAAGTTGGAGACATCAAAGTTCTCTGGCCTCCACGCCAAATACTGTGCAACACTCGAGAGCACACATTCTTGCTTTCTTCGGAGCAGTCAACCACCAAAAGGTTCAAGGCTCGCGAAGCCAAGTATGGTAAGCTTGCTTACTCTTCTGCTTTTGGCTTTAGCGTACCATGCGGTCCGTCACTAGAGCAGATAGCACCAGATTCGACGTTACTAGTCTCACTTGGGCTCGAGGAAGACGACTGGAAGGTAAGGTGGAGCCCTTACGATGTCGAAACTGGAGAGGTGTACATGAAGGAGTGCGGCGAGACGGTACCGATCTTGATGAGTCGCTGGAAGCCATGGAAAAGGCTTAATGTGGTCATTGAAACGCTTCTAGTGCCGCCCATGCGAAGATGGCCTGGGTGGAGTGTGAGGGTGCACCACGTGAAGTGCACGACGCCTCTCTCGGCGAGAGAAAGGCTACAGATCGTGGAAGGTGGCTTCGCAGCAAGTGCGCAGGCGGCAGATAGTGTTTCTATCTTCGAAGAGCCATGTGCGTCCTTTCCTACTGGAGCCGATCACAAGGAAAAGAACTTCGGGTGGTGGAGTGACCGAGATAGCGCTTTCATACTCTCAGAGTCTGGCGCAAGCGGTGTTATCAATTTGACGGGTCCTAGCTTGCGCGACGCATCAGCGAACGTGCTCGTTTCGAGCAGGGCGATTGTTATTCGTGCAGACCCTAACACGTAAGTCTTGCTTCTCTTTCAGCTGGATCACAGGTCGTAGGGAGGCCTCCGCGCCGCGGATGCATAAAGTCGTACTGCGGTAGCTGACTCCAGACCCGCACAGGAATCTCATCGCGCAACGCACCCTAATACCAGTCGCGCAACATGAGATGAGGGCAAAAGGAGAACGCATTCAGTTTGATTTTATCACTGGTGTATTCGCGATTGACGCGTCGGCGAATGTAAGCGCGCAAGATGTGTGGCGGATGTGGCAAGATCGACCCTCTGGTGAGGTTCTCCAATCGTGCGAACGGAAGTGGAAAGACTATAGAGGCGCCCGATAGAACTACGTAGATAGTAGTCGTGGCTTGACAAATGTGCATGTAAGTGACGTTTACATCCAGACAGAAAGAGTTCAAGTTGAGAGATCAATCGCCCAGGGACATGTCCTTGATCATGTAAGCGCATCCAGACAACGAACTATACACAGAGACGCGGTAGCAAAAACCTTCAAGGATCACTACCTCAACTTAACAGATAAACTGGGGTACCAAGTCTATGTAAGCAAAGTTCGATCGCCAAGTACAGCCAAGTCGCCATCGAGACGATATGTTTATAGTGGAGACAAGTCCGGAAGCTGTCTGATCCGCCGTCACACAAATATAGCCGTCTCCGAAACTTCGAATCTGCCTGAATTCTTCCACGTGATACGTCGACGCCAAAGTGTCCGACTTTTTTCGTCCGGGATCGACCACAACATTGTTGCCGGAACTAGAGATACCCAAGATCGTTTCTGCATAAAGACTGCGTAGTGAGCTTTCTAATGTCGGAACTCACCACAATCTCTTGCAGCAGGTAGGACAGTGAGGATCCATATTTCAATGTCAGACAACATCATGTCAAAGCAAGTTGCCATCGCTGGTGGTTCTGGCAGTAAGTCTACATATATGTTTGCTTAGAGATGCTTTGCTAATTGGTACAGATGTGGCTCAAGAGGTGATAGATGCAATTTTGTCCCGGGGTAGCTACAAAGTTGTAGTTCTGAGTCGAAGAGTTGGTAAATCTCCTCTATCTGGCCGCCAGGGTATTGATTATGATAGGATGCTGTAAACAGTGAGACGACACACGTTGAATGGAGAAAGGTCAACTATCACAGCCATGCTTCACTCGTAACATCCCTTGATGGAATCGATACCTTGCTGTCTTTTGTAGCAACCGCTGACATGGAGGCGGCCTTCGAGCTGCAAAAAGTGCTGATCCACGCAGCTATCGAAGCGGGCGTACGAAGATTCGCCCCATCTGAATGGTCGTCGTGAGTTTTGCTTTACGTCAAGCCGAGATCCCACAGTATCGAAATACTAACATAACATCGCGAAGGCGCTCGGAAAGTGGCATTGCTCACTACGCATACAAGGATGAAACGCGCAAGTACCTCGAAGCAATAAACAAAGAGAAAGATGTAAGCAGCTAAAACCGGTATTTGTGACGTAAGTCAAGCTGACGATATAGCAAATCGAATATTGCCTCTTTCAGCCCGGCTTCTTCACCGAATACTTCGCAGTACCGAATGCAACGGCCAGTCACCTTCAGAGCTTCAAGATGTTTGCCGACTTTGAGTATCGCCGCGCCATCATAATGGAGGGATCGGAGGGATCTCCACTCACACTCACGACGGTCGGAGATATGGCTAAGGTCGTGGCTCTTGCACTGGATTACAGCGGCAGGTGGCCCACAACTGGAGGTATCCGGGGAACCCAAACAACTATCTCCGGATTTTTGAGCCTTGCCGAAGGGATTCGAGGTAAATTGCTACTAAGTTTGTTGTTGGTAATGCTAAAAGAAGTTCAGGTCCATTCCAGATCGAACGACTGGTCCCAGAAGACGTGAATAAGGGGGAGCTGAAGGCGTCATGGTATCCCATTATTGAACATAAAGCTCTTCCAGATGAGTACAGGGAGCTGTTCTCGAAGAATGTAACGATGGAATATGTCAAATCTCTGGCCGCTGGTGGTTGGTCTACCAGCGATGAATGGAATAGATTGCTGCCTGATTACAAGTTCATCTCGGCAGAGGAATATTTGAGCAAAGTTTGGAAAGCCACTTGAAGTCATATACATATAGTTTGCTTCTATAAACAATGATTTGGGTGTTTAAAACGTGACTGGGACTAGCTCTAAAACTCTGTAGGAATTACAATCCTGAGACACCATCAAGATGTCTTCTGATACCACACCTACTGTCTTCATCGTCTATGGTACCAGTCCGCAAGGCTTTGCTGTCATCACAGGCCTCTTTCCTAATATCACTGCAAGGTCCTCGCAAGCGGTGTTGCTTCCGCTCGCGCAAAAGAACTTGCTACTCTCCTCATCGTCTCTTGCATATGGGCACATCCACAGATAAGAGTATGCTGCGGGTTAACTATTCCGGATGTTGTGATGCTTGCGATTACATCGATACCTTGAATAGTGACGAGAAAGCGGAAAGGCAATGAGCTGTGCGCTAATGTGAGCTCGCTTCAGAGAGTGGGCTGGGCATCAAGAGGTGACGCATGATATACCCTTGCGAAAAGCACACTAAGCAATAGGCATTTTCCTCACTGTCAGAACCAGCTTACTTCGTTGAAGGATTTGTGGTACAGCACCATATACAAAAGATCATGGAAATATGCTTAAAACACAGCATGCGCTCGGTATTGACTAGATATTGTCTATGAACCAGTCATACGCGGCCGTCTACTCGCGATCTTCTTCAACGGAATTATAAACCCTGATTAGGTTGGAATCCATGATTCTGTCTCGACTCCGGCGCCTCCAGTGGTCCGTCCAGAGCCTTCACCTCCCACGAATCAACACCATACTCCTTATCCAAGCCACCCATGAACTTCTTCGCCGCGTCACCTACCAGGCACGCCCTCTCAATACTCTGCATACCACCAATCTTGGACTCCGGGATCCGCAAGCTGCCTTTCACCCACTCGTAGCTCACGCCATCCGCGCTCTTGTTCTGTTCGCGCTTGAAGCCCTTGAGTGGTACGGGCTGATACTCGTTGCCTAGCTGCTGCATTCTGTACCATACAGTGGGATGGACCTCCTCTTCCGTTTTTCCTGTTGCGCCTTGAGGAGGGTTCTCGTCGCGGTATTCGCCTGGTGTGCGGTACTTTGAGCCAGCTTTCTTCATATTACCTTCGAAGCTGTCGACGATGGGTCCCGTTCCCCAGCCTTGCAACGCGTCTGCCGCGAGCACCTTGGATCGCGTCTTGTTGCCGTCGTTCCAAGGGTCAGTTCTGTCTTTTGCGAGCATGTTGTCGATTCTCTTGACGAGCCAATTGTTCTTGTACTTGGCGTGATCGCCGAGGAGACTCTCGATGATGGGTTGCAAGAGGAAGAGGCGATCCTGGTTCAAGAGGGTTACGGCGTTCGGTTCGAAAGCGAGATGCTCTTTGAGTTGCTCTAACATCCAAGCGAGCGTGATAGTAGAGATTTCTGTTTGGCACTTAGTGAGTCACTTCATTCAATAGAAACTACTTAGTTTGACTCACGCTCAAAGTCGCCTAGTTTGTCTTTGAAGACATCATCACTTCCTCCACCAATATTGATGTGGACGCCAGGGAACCAGACTTGCTTGAGTTCTGAATTGCTGCCTTTGAGCTCTTCGTGCATTTCAGCGTCAACAAGGTTTTCCCAGGCTTTCTGAATCTCGGCTTCAGGAGTATCGTCCGTGTCGCGAAGCTGGGTCAATTTCTCTTTCAGCTCAGACAGTGGCTTATGAGCTTTTGCTGTGCCGTCACTTGCATAGAGATTCCACATGGTGGTATCGAAGGGTTTCCTGTGCTCATCCAGGGCCATTGCATGGTACGCGTGTTTGATGTCTGTAGACCAGAATCAACACACTAAATCTCCGCAAGTCAAGGTATAGATAGAACTCACAAGGGCTGAGCGCGACATTTCGGAAGCCAAATTCCTCGGCAGGAATCTTTTGAGCCAGGAAGTTGATGGTGTACCTGAACCAGCCTTCTACATCCGGGACACCGAGGGATCCGACGGTATCGAAGACACCAACGGCTTCAACCCACCGAGTTGACTCTGGTGCTGCACCATGAGGTCGTTTCTTCCATTGATATGGAGATTGTCTAAATCCTTCAGGAAGGTCTTTCTGAGCTGCATCGAAGAGGCGCACGCCGTTGACCCACTCGCGCCATGCTTTTGACTTCCTGAACATGTTGCTGTCCTTGTAGTGCTGATAGGTACGGTACAGTTCCGGAAAGTCCCTACATCCAATAGTAAGTCGGTGATTATTCTGTTTTAGGAACAATCATGACGGGACAGAGTAAAAAGCTAAATGAGCAATGAACGTACTGCATATCTCTCGGCTTGACAATGCCAATGTCTGTGACTAACCCAGCAACAGCACGCGCCGTATAGGCGCCACGCGAGAATCCGAAGCAGAAAATCTGATCACCGGGATTGTAATTCAATACAATGAAGTTGTACGCCTCAATGACATTGCCCACGAAACCAGAGCCGGTCATGCCTTCTCGGGCGGCCTCAATGGAGCTAGCACCCGTACCAATGCCGGCATCGTAGTAAACAAGCTGCTGCCATTGCTCGCCCTTCGCATCCTTGCCAACCTTAAGGAGGTATCGTGCGATCCGGGTTATGTTTGACGGAACATTGTCAACGTTAGTAACGGACGATTGCCATGTGCCATCGCAGCAAATGACGATGCGTTTTGGAGCAGGTTTCAAGGTCGTGTCTTGGAAGCCGCTCGGCCTGAAATCTTGATCGAAATTCATTCTGTAAACAAGCTCTAAGTGAGAGATGTCAAAATCAACGGATTTCTTCCCCGACTTATTACTTATACTGCTGAGAGCTGCATTCACCTAGGCCCTTCGCTCGCTTCATGTGGAATGGGAATCTGTGGCGCTCGTAAGAAGTACAGTAGCATCTTCTCACCGCTTTAATGCTAGCCAATTAGCGACACCTCTATCGAAGGCCAGACCATTTGAACTGTTCAGCCAGCCAAGCGAAGGCAATGGGCAGCGGTAGTAGACTCGTGGAGATAGGCTAATGCATTGCTTTTCAGCTGAACTTTGATGCGCCCTGCGCAAAACGATTCTAGACGGGCCGCCGATCTGCGGCTGCAGTGCGGCAGTGCCCGTGCACTACTGGGCGGGTGCGCGTCACGAGCTAGTCCGCGTACTAAGCCGCGTTTGCAAGTAAAAAGCAATATATCTGAACTACATATGCAAGTGTATAAGACAAGAAAAACAAAACTTAATCTACAATATATATAGAGAAAAGATAACTTAATATAAAAAAAAGGGTTTTATCTTATCTATTTAAAGTAATTTTAGATATTTTTACTAAACTCTAGTATTAGAGAGCTTTAGCTTTATAAAGAATATTTCTAGTCTATATAATATTAGTTATTAAAACTATAGAAAATAGCTGCTTTCTTTATATATTATATAAATATATATATAGCGCTTTATATAAGTATCTAAGAGCTTATTATTTAATAAGAATACTAGTAAGCTACTATATCTCTAGAGCTATAGCTATGTTAAGCACTTAAATTAATACTTATAATTTTTATTTATTCACTGTCTAAAAGCTTCTACCTTTGTAGGTATACTACTATTCTACTATATTCTTATAATATTAGCTGTTTTAAGTACTCTACTCTTTACTTATAATCTATATTAACTAAAAGATTATACTTATAGTTTATATATAAATACAAAGTTTGTTATTTATATTAACAAACACTTAAGAGAAACCTATATTTAAGCTCGAAGATATTGTTTTTACTTTACTATAGTATTATAATACAATATATAATACTATAATTATAATAATATACAACTTAGTACTTATTAGTTTTACTAATATACTTGTAATAAGACGTAGGTACAACGCTACTAAAAAGTACTATATTATCTTATACTACTAACTTAGTAGTTTAGATATTACTTATACTAGTATACAACTCTACAGATTTTATATTATACTATTAGCTTTTTTAAGAAAGCTATATAATAAAAACTTAGTAGCTAACTTTATATTAGCTTATACTATAGGATATAAGTAGAAAATAGAGTTGATTATAGTTTTAGGATTTAGAAACAAGCTAAATAGTTGTAATGCTTTTACTAAGTATAACTATACCTATATAGTAGAAGTGTTTAAGTAGTATTTAGTAGTATTTTTTAACTTAAGATATAAAACTTTTCTAAACTCTAATATTATTATATTATTATTACTATACTTCTAGAAGTATAAAATAAAAGTCTTTTTAAAATCTATTTATAATATCTTTTTAGTTACTAGAACTTTTTACTTTTAAAGGTATACTACTATTTTATTATAATTACATAATCTTAGCTATATTAAGTACTTAACTTTATATATAAAATCTCCAATATAAAAAAGCTCTAAAGTAGGTTTTTTTCTCTTAAGTAAGATATAGTAATAGTAATTTAAACTTAAGCTCTAGATTATAAAAAGTAAAGAGCTTAAATATTTTTTAATTTATAATTATTTATAAAAGCTACTTAGTAAAGACTATAGAGATAAAAACCTCTTGTAAATAGAATTAAGAACAAAGTAACTTAAAAGCTACGTTTAGGTAGTTTATAATAAGTTAAAAAAAAAGCTTATTAAAAGATAACGTTATTATATAATTACTACTAGATTGTTAATAATACAAATAAGCTAGTAATAAGATATAAGTATGATACTATTAACTTATACTTTATTATTTTATACTAGAAACGTATTTTTAAGAGTTTACTTAGCCTTACTATGAAAAGCTAAATATATACTTATTTAGAAACGTTTTAATTATAACTAAAGCTATAAAACTCTAGCGCTTTACGTTTATATATAAAAAAGAATATTTCTTAATACTTATAATATAATTAAATAAACTAATTACAACTTATAATTTATATTATAAAGGAATATTAGTAGATATAGTTATTAGTAAGCAACTAAAGTTCTAAATTATATTATTCTTATTTTAGAAAGATATTGAAATATAGACTTAAAACTTCTTATCTTAACTTTTCTACTATAATATATTCTCTTGAATATATAGTAAATTA